ATCTGTCAGCTGCTGATTCCGCTGCGCACCACCATGCCCTTCTACAATTCTGAGGAGGAGCGGCAGCATGGGCTCCAGCAGCTGCAGAAGAGACAGGTGGGCCTGCGGGACAGGCTCAGGCTAATGCCTGGGGGCAGCAAAACTGCCTAGGAGAGAGAGCTCACTGGGTTGAGATCACTAACCTGTAATCTCTGTGAGGGCAGAGACATGGTTTTGCGTTTTTACGTCCTCAGTGCCATTCAGTCGGTTCTCCACATATTTGCTGAGTATCTGCTGTGGCTGCCATAACAAAGTACTGTAGATTGAGCGGCTTAAAACACAGAAATGTGGTCTCTCACAATTTTGGAAGCGATAGGACCAAGATCAATGACAGGTGTTGGCAGGTTTGGTTTCTTCTGAGGCCTCTCTCTTCCTGGTTTACAGATGGCTGCCTTGCCATGTCCTCACGTGGTCTTTCCTCTGTGCACACACAACCTTGGCATCTCTTCTTGTGTCCAAATTTTTTCTTATAAGGACACCATTGGATTGGGTTAGGGGCCATCCTGAAGGCCTCATCTTAACTTAATCCCCTACTTAAAGGCCTTATCTCCAAGTGCAGTCACATTCTGAGGTTATAGGGGTTAGGGCTTCAACCTATGAATTCTGGGGAATAAAATTCAGCCATAATACCCATATATGTCAAGTATTGTGATAATTGCCGAGGCACATAGTGGGAGGTCAATAATGATGCTTGAATATATAAAGGAGTAAATAAATAGAGGAGGTTAGGAAAACTATTATGGCATTGATAACATCTCATTTTTTTTCTTTAAAAAATAGCACTTTACAAGCCATTAATCTCAAAACACCAGATTCATCAATTTTTGTGTTGTCACACTTTGAGAGTGGCCTTAGAAAAATGACCTTAGAGTAAACTTGTTTCTGATAGTAGCTAAGCAGGATAACTCCAGAAGGAAAATTCTCTTAAAATTAATTCAAATAGAAAGGCAGATAGTTTTAGATAGTTCTGAGGCATGATAGTTTTATTAAACTAAAATTTTAATATAAATAGAAGAATAATACTCATTTAATAATTTTCTGTTGAGCACTCATTTATGCCAAGTATGGAACTAAGATGAAAATACACTTGTTTCTGGACCTTAAGAAATTCACAGTGCAGAGTTTGCCTTTTTGTGTCACTTATTCTAGGACTTGTGGCCAGCTTAATACAGGCAGGCTTACTATTGGGTCGGCAACTAAGTACTTGCGGATTTTTAAAAGAAAATCAAAGACAATTTTTTCATGGAACTGAATAACTTTATTCTGTAATGTATTGCCCATTTTGATCAATGACCTTTTGCCATCTTTCAGGCAGCATCATAATCCCACGTTCAAAAAACTTCTGGTTTTTATTAGCAAAAAACTGAATCAGGTACGATTTGACATCATCATCATTATTGAAATTTTTACCATTCAAGGAGTTTTGTAAAGATCGAAACAAAAAGTAATCAGATGGTGCAAGGTCAGGACTATATGGTGGATGTGGCAAAACATCCCAACCAAGCTCCATTAATTTTTGCCGAGTGACCAAAGATGTGTGTGGCCTTGCATTGTCATGATGGAATACAACACCTTTTCGATTTGTCAATTCGGGCCGCTTTTCTTCAACTGCATTGTTTAATTTCATTAGTTGTTCAATGTAGACATCAGAATTGATCGTTCGGTTGGGTGGTAAGAGTTCAAAGTAGACAATTCCTTTGTAATCCCACCAAACTGATAACAAAACCTTCTTTTGATGAATATCAGCTTTTGATGTTGTTTGAGTTGGTTCACCTGGCCTGCTCCACGATCTTTTCCGCTTGATATTCTTGTAAACAACCCATTTTTCATCCCCAGTTATCAGTCGTTTTAAAAATGGATCATTTTCATTATGTTTCTTTAGCAAATCGCAGCTGCTAATGCGTTGCGTTAACTGTGATTCTTTCAGTTCGTGAGAAACCCACGTATCGAGTGTTTGAACATAGCCAAGTTGTTTTAAGTGATTTTCAATGCATGTATGTGATACATGAAGCTTCTCTGCAATCTCACGTGTTGTACTGTGACAGTCCGAATTGATTATTGCTTTGATTAGGGCGTCATCAACTTCAACTGGACGACCAGAGCGTTTTTCATCTTTGAGTGAAAAATCACCAGAACGAAATTTGGCAAACCAATTTTTGACACTGCCGTTCTTTTAAGGCTTCGTCACCATAAACAGCACATAACTTTTTATGAGCTTGCGATGCATTTTTCCCTTTGCGGAAATAAAAAAGCAAAATATGATGAAAATGTTCCTTTTGATTTTCCATTTTTCAACAAACGCCAAACGAAAACTACAAAACAGATCAAAAAACTTTTTTTTACTGATTAACAGCTGAATAGCCAACTATCAAATAACAAAATGTGTTTTACATTTGTACTACGTCTGCAAACCTAAAAATTCAACTGAATTTTTGTTGTGTGAAACCCGCAATTACTTAGCTGCCGACCCAATATTTGTGTAAGCCCTCACCCAGCTCATTAGGTATTGGCCTTATATCCAGGTATCCCTATATCCACTATTGTACTTTACTTATAGACTGACCACTTTTTTCTTCCACAGAAACACTTGATTGAATTCTGCTACACTGTAGCCCAGAAATATATCTTTGAAGAAAGGTATAAAGAGGCTGTCCCAGCAGCTTTGCATTCTCTTCGCTTCCGCATGAATGTGTACGGCCTGAGTTCAGTAGAGCTTGTGCCTGCCTACCTGCTGTTGGCAGAGGCTAGCATTGGTAAGTGGAAATGACTTACCCGCTGGAGTCATATCAGAAGCCAAAGAATCTAGCCTTGGTATCTTTTGTGCAAGAGCAGGGCTGCTGAAAAGTTTGGCACAAGATGGGGAAGGAGGTGTCTTGAACTTTCGGCTACACCTGACAAAACCTCTCTAGCTGACCTAAGCAAAAGGAGGAAACGTATCAGGACGCTGGCGTGTCCTAAGGGAATTGAAGCACCACGAGGTACTAGAATCAGAATGCTGTAACAGAGAAAGGCTGGTGCTCTCAGCTTGTATTTCTGGGGCCTTGTCTCTTGCCTCTGCTTCTCCATATCTGCAGACCGGATTTTTCTACCTTATGCTTACTGCAGGAGACAGATAGCCCAAAATGTCAGGTAGAGTTGGATGTACGTGTCCTCCAGGTTCAAGGTGGGTCATAGAAACTAATTAGCATCTGATTTCCAATTTTAAATTCCTAAAGAGAGAATTGTATTGACTCAGCTTGAGGGTGATATCTATCTACCTTTGAGTCAGGGTATTGTAGTTCAAACAGGAATACAAGAACCTGCTCCTATAGATGAGAGGGAGTTTTGAGAGTGGAGAGCATACCCTTGGCAGACATTCCTTGTGGTTGTTACAAGAGGAGCATTAGCATTTTTTAGGGGAATTAACATTTTTTAGTATCTACAGTATATCATCCTACATAATAAAAGAGTAATATGCACATTAACCATCACTCCGCTACACCCTGCAAGCCATGCTCATCAGCCACACCCACCTGTCAATCAGAGCGAGTATGCAAATAAACCCAACCAAGATGGCTATGGCCACAGAGAGCAGGAGGAAGGCTTGGGTTTCTCAGGCAACGGAAGAAGCTAAGCTTTCCGTCTGCCCTTGCTGGCCTAGGCCTCCACTCCAGGCTACAAAGTTTCAGTTATAGAAGGTAAATAAATACAAACAGAAATGTCTGCAGCCACAGAGCGAGCAGGAGGCTTGGCTCCTCTCCAGGCTACAAAGTTTCAATTGTAGAAGGTAAATAAATTCCAGATACCAGGGCCTCCGCTTGGGTCACCAGGGGGAATGGTTGGCCTGCAAACCACCAGAGGCCCCTTGCTCAGACTGCCCCATGCACCAAGGGAACCCCTACCCTGATCTGGGACACCCTTCAGGATAAACCAGCTGGCCCCTGCCCATGCACCAGGCCTCTATCCTATCGAATAAAAGAGTAATATGCAGCTGAAACCGGTTTGGTTCAGTGGATAGAGCATCGGTCTGCGGACTGAAAGGTCCCAGGTTCGATTCCAGTCAAGGGCATGTACATTGGTTGTGGGCATATCCCCAGTTGGGGGTGTGCAGGAAGCAGCTGGCCGATGTTTCTCTCTCATCAACATTTCTAGCTCTCTATCCCTCTTCCTTCCTCTCTGTGGAAAATCAATAAAATATATATATATTTTTAAAAAGAGTAATATGCAGATTGACCATCACTCTAACACACAAGATTGCTGCCCCCATATTGTCAAAGGTCCTGACCCCATGTGGACACAAGATAGCCACTACAAAAAGGCCATCAGGGGAGGGCTGTTGGGAGGCACCAGGTCTGCAAGGAAGGGCAGTTGGAGGCGATCAACCCTGCAGAGAAGGGCAGTAAGGAGTGACCAGGTTGGCAGAAAAGGGAAGTTGGGGCAAACAGGCTGGCAGGGGAGCAGTTAGACATCAATCAGGCTGGCAGGGAGTGGTTAGGGGGTGATCAGGCTGGCAGGCATAAGTGGTTAGGGGCAATCAGAAAGACAAGCAGGCGAGCAGTTGGGAGTCAGCAGCTAGTTTATGGGATCGGGCCTAAATAGGCAGTCGGACATCCCTTGAGGGGTCCCAGATTAGAGAGGGTGCAGGCTGGGCTGAGGGACACCCTACCCCATGCACGAATTTTGTGCACCAGGCTTCTAGTTTTGAAATAATTTCTCAATCTTTCCTTGATGCCTGTAACTTTTATTTTTAAAATATTAAAAGCCAATTATTTTATAAAATGTCCCTCATTTTGGGTTTCTCTGAAGTTTCCTCCTGACTAAATGCAGATGATGTATCTTTGGCAGGAATATCATAGAAGTGATGCTGTGTTCTTCTCATCTCATCCTATAAATGGGCACATGTTTTCAATTTATTCCATTACTGATGATGATCATTTAAGTTACTTCACTCTTTCAAAGTATACTTCAGCAGTTTTTTCATAAAATATACTTTTATTGATTTCTGAGAGGAAGAGAGGGGGAGAGAGAGATAGAAACATCAGTGATGAGGGAGAATCACTCATCGGCTGCTTTCTGCAAGCCCCTTACTGGGATCAAGCCCACAAGCCAGGCATGTGCTCTTGACAGGAATCAAACCCGGGACTCTTTAGTCCACAGGCTGATGCTCTATTCACTGAGCAAAACCAGCTAAGGTTAATTCAGCAGTTTTAATAATATTCAGAAGATTGTACAACCATCACTATGTTTAATTCCAGAACATTTTAGTTAACCCAAATGGAACCCAATATCCATATTAGCAGTCATACCATTTTCCCATACCCACATTTCCTGGCCACCACTAATCTACCTCTGTCCCCATGGATTGGCCTTTTCTGGACATTTCATATAAATGAATCATACAATATGTGGCCTTTTGTGTCTGGCTTCTTTTACTTAGCATATGTCTTCCAGGGTCATCCATGTTGTAGCATATCAGTACTTGATTTCTTTCCATGGCTGAATACTATTCCATTCATGGATACAAATAGACCACACTTTGAATATCTACTCATCACTTGTACATTTAAATTGTTTCTATTTTTTTTTTGTCTATTATGATTAGGCTGCTATAAATTTTCATATATAAGTATTTGTGTGTCGATAAATGTCTGAGTTATGAATAAGTGTGTGAATGCATGATGACATATTTCATTATGTGTTTTCTGGCCAGGATATGAATTACAACCTTCTTTTGATATTTTGGACAGGTCTAGACCAGATCATCCAGGCTGAGGAATATCTATCCCAAGCCCAGTGGACAGTCCTCAAATCAACTGATTGTTCTTATGCCACCCATTCTTTACTGCATCGGAACCTGGGACTTCTCTTTATAGCTAAGGAAAACTACGATGAAGCCCGTTATCATCTGGCCAATGATGTAAACAATCTAAATTATAACACCTGTTTAGTTTGTTGGGTTTTTTTAACTGAGCATTTCTCTATAACTTTTTGTCTACACCTGACTGGTTGGGTATTATTAACAAGAACAAAATTTTAAAAAGATTTTTAAAAATTATTGATTTTTTAGTGAGAGAGGAAGGGGAAGGAAGAGAAACATTGATGTGAGACTAAGACATTCATTGGCTGCCTCCTGTATGCCCACTACTGGGGATCTAGCCCACAACCCCTGCATGTGCCCTGACCAGGAATCAAATTAGTAACCCTTAGATACACAGTATGATGCTCCAACCAACTGAGCCACTTTGGCCCAGCAAGAACATAATTTTAAGAACCTGAGTTCAAACCTTCCTGGCTGTGCAGTCTTGCCCAGATCACATCATTTCTCTAAGCCTCAGTTGCTCTGAGGAAAATAAAGGGAGGCAGACAGAGTACTAAGAGAAGGGTTTTACTTCTAGTTCCAGCCATATAGTCTTAGACAAATTATTTAACCTCTTTCATCACCTTTAAGAGAGAAATAATGAAATGGTCTCAGAGATAAATAATAGGACAATGCATATTCAGCACTTTGGCTGTTATTTTTATAAATAATCTCAATATCTCTACTTCAAAGTATGGTAATTACATTTCAATGAGCTGGTGTTATGTGAATGTGCTTTGTAAACTACAAAACTCTGTTCAAATGTTAAATAGGATAATAAGGGTAATGATTGAGCAGTTCTTCCAACATTTCTGAGGTTTCTATTAGGATTTCAGTATTGGACAATATTACAGAAAGAATAGTTTCGGAGTCTGAAATCTGGATGAGGTTAGGGTCAGACTGCAGTCTTCATGCAGGTTGGTCTCTTCAGCCTCTCCACTGGGCAACCCTCCCTCTGGTTGGCTGCCACTGTACAATGTCCATAGAGTCAATGGAGACATCTTGTGATGATTAGTCTCCATATCCCCTCACCCCAAATCCATTTGCTGCCCTAGTCTGTCACCTTTATGGACTACACGACCTGGACTCCATTGCTCTGGCTTTGGTTTGGAGAGTGAGAGACATGGCCAGAGATTGGAGGTTGGGAGGAGAGAGAGGCTGGGGTATTTCCTTTCTTCTCCATCCCAGTTCTGGCAGGGAAATTGTTCCTTATGACTCCTGTCAGGTAGCCTTCTTTCATGGCTCTCGATATTACTGGGCCCTCATAACCCTGCTTTCTCCCCTTGCTTTTTCAGGAATCAGGATGGTAATTTCTTGCTGTTGATAATCCCTGGTGCCTCCCTAGTTCTTATTGGTTCCCTAACCCTTCTACATCTCTGTAAATGATTATTTTCATTAAAGTGTCTTCATGAAATATTTTGAGGATGCCATAGCTTTCCACCTATGAGCCTGACCAATGCACTTCTTCATCTGTGTTTTTCTGCACAAATAGACTCTATCTACACCCTCTGACAAATTAAGCAGATGTTCATTCTGTCTTAAGGTGGGCCATTCTGTTAAGAATGAGATCAAGCTCAGATTTCTCAGCCTAGCTTTAAAAAAAAAAAAAAAAAAAAAAAGGAAAGAAAAAAGACTAAAGAATAGGTCAAGCCTGGGTGTCATGGCTCAGTGGCTGAGCATTAATATATGAACCAGGAGATCACGATTTGATTCCTGGTCAGGGCACATGCCTGGGTTTTAGGCTCAATCCCTAGTGTGGGGCATGCAGGAAGCAGCCAATCAATGATTCTCTCTCATCATTGATGTTTCTACCTCTCTCTTCATCTCTGAAATCAATTTAAAAATATTTTTTAAAAAAAGAATTAAATCAAGCTCAGAGTCCTCAACCTAACTTTAAAAAAAAAAAAAGAAAGAAAAAAAGTTTTATTGATACATATAAAATTCAACCACTTTAAGTGAATAATTAAATGATTTTTAGTAAGCTTACAGAGTTGTGCATTCATTCGCACAATCCAGTTGTAGGACATTTTTATCATCCCAATGAGAGCCCTAATATCCATTTTCAATTATTTCTTATTCCCACCCCTGTCATGGGACAGGTACTGAGCTGGGCAGGTCTGCCTCAGGCCAGCCTGCAGTGTGTGGGCTCTTGATTTGGTGTGGGAAAGATTTCACAATACAACCCCCGGTGGTTTTGAGAGTACGTTTATTCAAGCTGGGAACAGTGAAACAAAGGAAGGACTTAGAATAGAAGAAGCAACAGGCGAGAGCCTAGGTGGGTAGCTTTGGCTCTCTAGGGGAAAGAAATTAGTCAAGGGGCGGCCTGCTGTCTGCTCCCTGGAGAGTCAGAGAAAAGGGGGCCTTGGGAACAGGTTCAGGATGTTAGCCCAGGAAGTGCTGCTGCTGTCTATTGCTTCCCTGGTTGCAAGTGTGGTGGGGACCTTAGAGTTATGGGGAAAGTAAGAAGTTCATACTGAGAAGGGACATCTGTGCGCTCCAGAGAGAGCACACTAGGTCTTCATCCTGAAGGTTTTCATCTTTCTTCTGAGGTGAGAATCTTGGGGGAAGCTTTCAGTAGAATATTCGTCAGCTTTCCAGATTTATTTTGTTATTGTTGTTAATCTTCTCCCGAGGATATTTTTTCCCCATTGATTTTTAGAGAGAGGGAATGGGAAGAAGGAAGAGAAGAAAGGAGAGGGAGGGAACAGGAAGGGAGAAAAAGAGAAAGAGATAGAGATGTGACTGTGACACATTAATTGATTGCCTCTCACACACGCCCCAGCTGGAGCCAGGGATCAATTCTGCAACCTAGGTTCATACCCTTGACTGGGAATTGAACCTGTGGCCCTTCAATGTGCACCCAATGCTCTAATTACTGAGATACACTGGCCAGGCACCAATGCATTTTCAATATGCTGATGTATCAAAATGAGGTTATAGGGAAGTTTGAGATTATTCTTTAGTCTGCTTTACTGCTTGACTTTTATCTTGGGTTGGTCCGGCTCTAATCGGGTTTTTGTTATTTGTTCCCCTGACTTCACCTGTCCTTGGGTTTAGCTGGCATGAATGGCATTAACTGGATCTCCTGATCAGGATGATTTAAACTATGTACTCTCTGGTTAGGGAAGAGAGGTATAAACCCTTTGCTCTCAAGTGTCCTTGGTTGGGGAAGATAGAAGGTTTTGGGATTCACTAGCTGGCTGTTAGTTGTTGAAATTGTTTGGCCTTATTTAATTTTCTTGTTTAATCCCATCCCACTTGCCCAGGAATTTTCCTAACTTCTTACTATCCCACCTCATCCCTGCCCCAGGCTACCACTTCCTGTTTCTCTAGGACATTTGATATAAACAGGATGCTATGTGGTTTTTTTGCATCTGGCTTCTTTTACTTAGCATAATTATTATTATTTTTAAAGTATATCTTACTTATTTTTTACAGAGAGGAAGAGAGAGGGATAGAGAGTTAGAAACATCGATGAGAGAGAATCATCGATCAGCTGCCTCTTGCACACCCCCTACTGGGGATGTGCCCGCAACCAAGGTACATGCCCTTGACCGGAATCGAACCTTGGACCTTTCAGTCCGCAGGCCAAGGCTCTATCCACTGAGCCAAACCGGTTTCAGCAGCATAATTATTTTGAGATCCATCCATGTTGTGTGTATAAATACTTTATTCCTTTAATTGCTGAGTAGTAGTCCATCATCTGAATATACCATAGTTTGTTTAGCCATTCCTCAATTGAGGGACATATGGATTGTTCCCACTTTTGGCTAATATGCATAATGTTGCTAAGAATGTTTTTTTTTTTTTTTTTTTCCAGATGATTTTTAGAGGATGTTTATTAAAGCTGGGGACAGTGAAACAAGGAAGGGCCCAGGAAAGAAGAAGCAACAGGAAAGGGACTAAGTGGGAAAATGAGCCTAGGCTGGGCTGCTTTGACTCACTGAGAAGTGAGAGAAAAGGGTCCCTTGGGGACAGGAGAGGGAGTTAGCCCAGGACAAGCTGCCACGTCCCATTGCTCCCTGGTTGCAAGCCTCTTGGGGTCCCTTAGAGCAGCAGTCACCAGCCGGTGGTCTGCGGACCACTAGTGGTTAGTGAGGTCCAGAAGGTTGGCGACTGCTGCCTGAGAGCATGCCTGTAGGGGAAGAGGAAAGGGAGGGGAGAGGTGTGGATGTGCTCTTGGGAGGGAGAGCATTCCCTCTCACTAAGAATATTTTTATACAAATCTTTGTCTGGACACATGTTTTCATGTTCTTGGCATATAACTAAGAATGGAATTGCTGGGTCATGTAATAGCTATATGTTTAATTTTTTAAATACATTTTTATTGTTCATATTATTACAAATGTTCCTTTCCCCCCTCACCATTGTTCTCTGCCCTTTCCCCACTCCCCATTGTCCTCATCCATAGGTGCACAGTTTATGTTCAGTCTCTTCCCACATCCCCCTCTCCCCTTTTCCCCAAGAATCGTCAGTTCACTCCCCTTCCATACCTCTGATTCTATTATATTCAACAGTTAATATTGTTCATCAGATTTTTTTTTTAAATTTCCTTGGTTTTTAGATTCACTTGTTGATAGTTACATATTTGTTGTTCATAATTTTTATCTTTATTTATTTTCTCTTCTGAAAGAACCCCCTTCAGCAATTCATATAATTTTGGTTTGGTGGTGATGAACTCCTTTAGCTTTTTTTTATTAGTGAAGCTCTTTATCTGACCTTCGATTCTGAGTGATAGCTTTGCTGGATAGATTATCTTTGGCTGTAGGTTCTTACTATTCATCACCTTGAATATTTCTTGCCATTCCCGTCTGGCCTGCATGGTTTCTGTTGAGAAATCAGCTGACAATCATATAGGTGCTCCTTTATAGGTAACTACCTGGTTTGCTCCTGCTTCTTTTAATATTCTCTCTTTGTCTTTTGCTCTTGGAATTGTAATTATGATTTGTCTTGGTGTGGTCCTCTTTGGATTCCTTTTGTTTGGAGTTCTGTGCGCTTCCTGGACTTGTAAGTCTAATTCTTTCACCAGGTAGGGAAAGTTTTCTGTCACTATTTCTTTCAGTATGTTTTCGATATCTTGCTCTCTCTCATCTTCTGGGACCCCCATAATTCTGATGTTGGTTCGCTTGAAGTTGTCCCAGAGGTTTCTTACATTATCTTCAATTTTCTGGATTCTCTTGCCTCCTGTGGAGGAGTGTCTTCTGGCTCTTTATGTTCCAAATCTTTGACTTGATTCTTGCCATCTTCCATTCTGTTTCTAGGACTCTGTATCAATATAATATTTTTTATTTCAGACAATGTATTCTTTATTTCTTGTTG